TTCGCAAATCAACTTTCACTCAGCTGGCATTGCGAAATCTCATTACTGCGATTTGCGGCATCAAACAATTTTTCTATTAAAACAAATAGCAGTCCAACGTAGTCCGACCTGTGACTGGATATTTGTAATGTCGAGAAGCAATCGCAAATGGTCTTTTACTGCTTTCAGCTTTAAAACTGCTCTATTTGGTAGAACAGTTTTCAGTCAGCCAATTTTGTGCACTGTCATGTAATTTGCATGACGTTTTTCAGACAACGAGGTAGCGAAAGTTCTACAATTGTCTCACCTGTTCTACCAAAAGAGAGTAAGATCGAAATTCAAGCAAGTTCAGTACCTTAAGCTAATTCATTCAGTAATCGTAACCGGAAGATGTTCATAGCGGGCAAGCGGTTCAGTAATCTGGCACAAAACAACTTGCATCATGGGGAAAATTTTCCCTTATTACAAGTGTTAATGTTCTGTGTCGGATTCAACGTACGTCGATGGCCCCATTAAGTGAATGAAATCTGTAAGGTATTTTCTAGTGAACTGCTTAGGCAAACATTCAAAATTAAAGTGTAAAAAGTGACTAGTACTATTATTATTAGCAGTAGGCCGTGCTGCGGAAAAGAGTGGCTGCATTGGTTCATCTTTTGTGTACGATTATTTAGCTGATAAAATTTTTTCTTGTGCTTGTACACATGGTTAAATGTTCACTGCACATACATTGCTGAGCAAATCGATAGAGCCAATAATAAATTTTCTCCACGCAGAAAATGTGCATTCGTTCGTGAGATATTCGCAGCTGACAGAAGAGGTAGAAATAAAATGGATCAGTTATATGACTCCAAATCTGGCACAACCTCAGTACCCGATGGTACGACGTCGAAAGGTAGGGAGTACTGTTGATCCAAACCGTAGTAGCAATCGCTCAGGATATACAACGTGTAAACGATGCGACCCAGTTTGCTAGACGTTGTGAACAATACGTTGACCGTTGCATTACGTTTCACGGGACCAACGCGTTTCAAAGCAATTAACTCCCTTTTTTCGGTGTCGCCGA